AGAGAGAGACAGAGAGACAGAGAGAGAGACAGAGAGACAGAGAGAGAGACAGAGAGAGAGACAGAGAGAGAGAGACAGACAGACAGAGACTGAGAGACAGAGAGAGAGACAGAGACAGAGAGAGAGAGAGACAGAGAGAGAGAGACAGACAGAGAGAGAGACAGACAGACAGACAGAGAGAGAGGGAGAGAAAGAGGGAGAGAGAGAATGTGTGTGTGCCCACACATATGTACATGTAGGTAAATGAGAGACAGAGATCATCAAACTGATAATTTTGATACACTGAAACTTTTATTTTCTTATGATTTATAAAGTTTGTCATTCACATTGATCAGAAGTTTCTAGCCTAGATATTGATTTCTAACTCTAAACCTTTGCAGGCACTTTTTAATGACAGCCTGGCAGTTACTCAATAGTAAACTAACCTACTATAAAATGCCTTTGTGCATTAACTTTGCCCCTATGAGTAGTGATTCCAGGAAACTCGGTGTCTCCTGGTGGTGATGGTCTTTGTTTTGGCTCCCACAGTTGAGATGGAGGAAGATGACTTCACAGCCACCCTGTCTAAGCAGAGCTGTATCACAGAACAAACACAGTACTTCTTCAAGAACGATACTAAATCATTCAGTGGTTTACTGGACTGTGGAAACTGTTCCAGGTACTCTGTGTCTTTGTGTGAAGTACTCCTTGTTTGCTAAGGACAGCATTCAGGTCTGTCATAATCACAGGATATAAGGAAGATGCTCAGTGAAGTCAAAGATGAATAGTTGTTTTAAGCTGAAAATCTCGGAATACTTGGTTTTTTATAGGTCTCATAAGCTTTGATAGCCTGTAATTGTTTTAGCTACAGTTAAATGGCAGAGCCTCTGATTCTAGGCAGAATGGAGAAAATTGAATGCATTTTTATAAGCAAGGTTAGTATTAGAAATCTTATAATATAGATTTTACTTATGATAATAATTTCAATCAAATACATCTTTCATGTGCAATAATTAAGAGGGATTGTAAAAAGTTAGGGGCATCATTGTTTATATGTTTACTCTTCTCTGACATGAAGAATTGAATGTTACTTTTGATTTGAAATTGAAGTCTCTGAAGAACATATCTCCGAAGATCATGAGTAATGTTTGCATTCATAAAACATCTTTAAAATGTTTTAGAAGGTATAGAAAATACACTTGTCTATGATGGAATTGAAGAGAGAGGCAAAATGGGGGTTTTAGGAGGTCTGAGGAAACTGCTAATCTAGGTTATTGGATCCCTGAGCCACAGTTTACAAAATACAGAGAGGTATTTTAGAGATGGATCCAAGTTTTTCCAGCAGAATGTTAACAGAGCAAAGAACCCGAGGAGGTAAGGTAAGCCAAGACTCTGAAAGGACCAGGATAGGTGCTGGGAGTTGAAAATGTTAGTCTATAACAATTACGATAACTACTCTTTCTACTCCAAGGACTTAACCAGTAGACAAGGTGTGTGGGTTTGTGACTTGATTGTGTAAATTATGTTTTCAAGGAGGCAGAGTTTTTGAAGAGGAATATAAAGGCAGATACTCTGGATAAAGATCACTTTACTTAAAATTAAGTCTACAAGGCTTTAAAAATTTAGAAAATTGTGCAGCAGCATAGACCATCTGCTTTTAGAACACTCACACAGCACCGTAACTTTTTACCAATTGTCCAGTAAAAGGAGTGTGTGCACACAGAACCAGGAGGGCAGAAATTCATCTCACAGACCACTTAAAAGCACAATGTCACTAGAGTTATTCTGTGTTGTTTCCCCAGTTAAAAGGAAAAGCCAGTAAAATTCCTCTGCTTTTAAAAAAGGTAAAAAAAAATCAAGTCGTATATTTATATTTTTATATTGATTTCAAAGGAAAATGAAACAACTCAACTAACAGTGGGCATGGAGCTAAAAGCCTGGCTGCGTATCTGAGCTCTGAAAAGTCCATTTCTAAGTACGGAACCTATTTACATTTTAATTAAAGTTTTATGTCACATTTTCAAAACATTTTTTTTTCCATATTGGGTAAACAAGAAACATTTATCCACTCAGAGAAAGCGTGTTAGGAACATTGATCTACACTTTATTCTGAACTTAGTTTGATAATATGCTTTGTCCCCTTTTTTTTCTACTTTTGCTACTTGCAAAGTAAAGGATTGTTGGTATATTGCCAGGAATAAATGTCACCATCTCCTAAAAACTGAAATTTAAATACTTTTAGGAATTTGGACCGTAACTAAATAGTACTACTTTCATAATTAGGACTAACAACTTTAAATGTTTTAATACAAGATATTTTTGATATGACCTTAATTTTTAAAATATTTATGAGATGGGGTATCATGTTTTTGTTAATACAATGTGTAAAAACATGGTGATCTTCAATTTACGTGTGTGTGTGTGTGTGTGTGTGTGTGTGTGTATGTGTGTATGTGTGTATTTTTCCTGGATGGTGATTCATTTTTCAATAAATTGTTTTATCTTTCTTTGCAGTAACTAAGAATCTTAGAATGATTTCCATTCTATTTCCAAAAGATAGTTTCCCCTTAATGAGCTACTGTAACGTGTATTTTGTAGGATCTTTCATGTAGAAAAACTTATGAACACCAACTTAGTATTCATAATGGTGGAGAGCAAAGGGACATGTCCATGTGACACGCGGCTACTCATGCAAGCGGAACAGACATGTATCCTTTGACACTGGAGATGTTTGGAACAAACCACTTTAAAACAATGAATATTTAAGTCTGCCACCCTGTTCATGCTCATATAGAGAAAAATATTGCAGTTCTAATATTTTGGTTTGAAAGGCAGAACTGACCACATTATTCGGGAACTATGGGAAAATTTAATTTGGACAGTTTTTACTCTCTCAGTCCCTCATACTTCAGCTGGTTCTGTGGGTGCGAGCGAGCATTGGCATAGGTAGGTTTTGATTGCTTTTAGAAATATGTCATTGCTCTTTTGAACCGTGTGGAGAAGAAGTTACACCTGTTCCTTGACAAGTCTCCTTAGCTGATGGTCCGGATCCTTGTGACATGGTTAAGCAGCCCAGATACCGAAAAGGACCAGATGTCTGCTTTGATAACAATGTGCTGGTAAGGGTTTTTAATGCACTAAAGTCTTAATTAATAGTCATCCTCCAGAAGGAGTCTAGGAGATTTGTTTTTGTTTAATGTGGCCCTAGTAGATTTCATAGTTAACATAAAGTTAGGGGTTGCTTCTTCTGTCTTTCCTACTATGGTACTTCCAAACACAACTCCAATAAAGTTTTTAATAGTGTATATAATTATATTGAAGACTAATAATAATAATAATAACCTGTAGAAACTTAATCACTGAAAATATGTTGCCTACCTTAATTTACATTCCAATTCTGAACGTATGTTATTTGTTTTATAGTTTGTATGTAGTCATCATCTAATTAAAAACTTGTTATAAGTAGTTATTATCCAATTATTTTGTTCTACTTCTATATCAGCTTTTTCTTTTTAAGAAAATGTATTGATTTTATGTGTATGAATGTTTTGTCTTCATGTATAATCTGTTCACCACATTTGTGCCTAATGCCCAAGAAGGCCACAAGACAGCAGAGAGCCCTTGGGACTAGAGTTACATCTGTTTGTGAGCCAGCCAAGGAGCACTGGGAAACCAATCCAGATCCTAATTTTTCGTTTGCAAGTGGTTACCAATTGCAGGTAGTTTCTGGGTTAGGGATGTGGGTCTGTGTCTGTAGCATGTAGTTCCTACTTCCCCACATTAAGATCCAGGCAGACTGCACTACCAGCCCCGCCTATGTTCCCTTGGACTTGTGGAAGACACAGACACACATTAACTTATTTTTAATGGCTCAGTGGCCCAGCTCTTATAAGCCTTCTTCGGCTACTGCACCCTTCTTTTTCACTCCTAGCTCAGTAACCTAAATCTGCCCTCAACTTTAATTGCTCAGTTACCTTTAGTCCAAGCTCAGCACCCTCATCTTAGTTGCATTTATAATCTTCTGTCTGTTACCCCAGGCCCAGTCAGGAAGCAGCCAGTGGACACTCCGCATGGCTGGTGGCTCTTTCTCAATCTGAAGCAGAGCAAATCCTTTCCTCTCTCCTGTGTCTGCTAGCCTGCCTAAAGGGGCAGGGGCTGGGGGGGGGGGAGAGACGACTGGAAGTCCTGCTTATTTCTCCCAGCCATTAGCTTGCTAGCATCTTTATTGATCTATCATCAAGAAGCAGTTGAGGAACAGGAGCTTCATTGTTCACATGCAGTTTCCCAACCAAAGCATCAGAACCACCCCTACATGTGTCCACGTCTCCTTCAGCTCTGGGACCCCAGCTGGTATGCCATGCTGGCCTTATTCACGCTGCAAGAAGCTCTGTGAGCTATTAACCAACTATTTGGTTCTACTTTCTTTTATACCATTTCTAACTTTGTCACATATTAGATTTTTATTATATCCCTCAATTGTATTAATTTTTTAATCTTAAACAAAATAGAGGATTAAACCTAATGTATAGAATTAATGATGATTACTTTTTCTAAAATTTAGCTCTATTTTGACTTACTGTTTTGTACTCATAAATATACATATATTCAGCTAGATCAAATGTATAATATATATACACATGTACATGTGTATACCTGTGTATATGTATATTATATATGCAATGTATTGTATGTATACTGTATTTGCAATATCTTTGCTTCTAAAATTAATCAACTATATTCACAAATATGATTATAGTAGAAATATTAATGTTCCTATTTATTATTACTACTTTCAATGTACTACTACCCAGGTCTCTGATTTTTCTGGTTTTTTTTTCATTCATTTACTTACATACCCCAATGAATATTCAAACAAAACAAAGCATTATCTTCTTGTAATTGGTATTTTAAAGATACGTCAGAACATTCAGTGATAAATGTGTGTTTTCACAGATGTTTTGCTTAAAATATAGCAATATCACCCTTAGAAATAGCAACATGTTTTCATAGTAATATATTATGCCAATAGATATGTGAATTAAAAACAAAATATTGTTCTAAAACTACAACCAGGAGTAGAGGAGAGGAATCGGGAGTTTAAATCTGAGGAGCTGAATTTGAATTGTCTGCAACCTCATAAACGCCCAGACATGGCTTCTGGTGCCTGGGTGCCTAGAATGTCAACATCTGGGAGTAAAGATGGGCAGAAGCCCAGACTCACTGGCCAGCCAACCTTGCCAATCCTTTTCTAGTTCAGTGAGAGTCACTGTCTCAAGGAACTAAGCAGAGACTGATAGAGGAAGGCACAGGTTGCTCTACTCTCCTGTTAACCTTCATTGTTACATTCACGTGCTAAATTAGACAGACAATAGATGATTGATAGATAGATAGATAGATAGATAGATAGATAGATAGATAGATAGATAAAATTATTAATGGAATTAGATCTAAAATTGTAAGATATGGAAACCACATCTCTTTAACAACAGTTGCTCTTTTGTCTTTAAAAGTGATTCAAAATTAAAACTAAGTCCCTTTATTAAAAATTACCAAATAAGACTTTGGCACACAGAAACGAGGACTCCTGCCATTCTCTCTACCATTAAATCTATCTTTCATGTTTTCTAGAGGCCTGCTCATGTCAAACCATTTCTCAAAGAGCTGTTTAGCGACTCCAGAATACTGTCACTCATTACAGTTAATTCACTCATCAACTACCTGTTCTCATCAACATAGATTAAAGTCACAAAGATGAATTTACAACCTGATGTAAAAGTCCTGTCTTAACGAGACCATCATCTTTTGATCAAGGCACTAAACCCGTTTGATTGAGACACAGTTTAAAACAATTTGAATGCATCAGCTATTTTGGCCTGTGTGTGAAAGTATGGCTCTTGTCGTAATGATCCCTCCTGAGTATAGCCTGATGAACCAATGGGATTAGTGCAATTATTGACAGGAGTGTAGGCAACATATGGCCAACTTCCAAAAACCTCTTCTTCCTAACAATTGTTAACTGATGCTCCAGAAAGGGAGGGTCCCATGTGCTTCCCCAGTCCCCCCCTTCTCCATCCAGAGAGAAGTTAATGGGCCCAACATATGAGAGTTCTGGGTTGTGACCGAGATGCTCTGAGACAAGGAGGCATTTGTCATGTCTAACATAGGTGACACAATCACTCAATGCATAGGTTAATGAAGTTAGAATTAAAGAAAAATATTCTTTAAAAATTAAGAAAATCAATGAATATATTAGGTATATATTTCAACTAAAAGGGTAATTTTGAAGAATCTACTTCAAAATATAGATTTACCTAAATTTAAAAGTGAACCCTTATTCTTGGATGTAGTCAGCAGTTACATGTTGTCTGAAGGAAAAGCATAGTTATAATTCAGAAAAACAAAATGACAACAACATAATACTCTTAGAATATTGTTTAGAAAAGCATATTTCTATATTGTCTAAATTTTCTTTAAATTATTGTGATCTTTGGGCAATTAATTGCCCCATGTTCAGTTCAGTTGGGGAGAAAGAAGTTCACTAATACTTGTTTCATCCCATCATCCAGAAGAGACATTAGCCATTTGTATGGATGGTATTATAAAGCGAGCCTTAAAGGACATCACATGAATGCAACGGTGAACTGTAAACTATGTTTTGGATACTTCTCCTTTAATTAGTTATGTAAAGGGAGAACAAAAACAATTCCCAGTTGATGTTTTTATTAATAGGCTCTTGAGAGGTGGTCTATTAAGCAGTCTCACAAAAGCATGTTGCATATCAAAATAAATATGTATAACATTGTCATCCAGGATTTTATTGACTTTAATAGTAAGGTAAAATACAAATATGTTCTTTGCATTGTGAAAAGCTCTTCAATATCAGGTTGAGTGGTTTCATGTTGTCAGTGAGATTTCACAGTTGGCAGGCCAGAAAAAAATGCTGAAGTTTCTCCTGAAATATACCCACTTGGGGTTTAGAATTTCTTAAAAGTGTATATCATAATGTTTTCATAACAGGGACTTCTAATAACTTCTAACCTACCACTTCCCCAAGTGAAACAGACTTCTATTATCACCATATGCAGCACATGGGGATAGGAGAGAAAATAAAAACCAATGAGGAGCCAGGAAATATTTTTTCAGAGTTCATATCTAAAATGTAAAGATATGTTTTATATTGACAAGAATTTCTGTGACAGCATCCATTCTTCACTTATAAGTGAGTCGTATTTGCATCCTGGTTCTTCATTTCATCTTTATACTATATTTGAAATATTTGGTATTCATATGTATTTATAAAAAGCAATTTTTAATCCAAAATTCGAATGTAACAGCTCTCTTTGGTGGTTCCTTACCTGCATAGAAAAGTTGACTGAAGAAAAGAACAAGTGAAATAGCTGAGATGCAGGACACACTGTAGAGAAGGACAGTGTACAGATACATAAGGCAAGACAGAGGAGGAGGATAAAGGAAGAAGCAGCTACAATGGTAGCTTTGGCTCCAGACCATAGTTCAGAATGTGAATTATGTTTAGAGCATGATGAAAACTCTTCAGATGGGGGGTTGACTTCAGAAAGAGAGAAATCTCAGATTGCCTCTGAGTCTTGACCTGATCTATGCTAGAAATACTATGCAGGGATGCTAGAAGGAATCAAAAATCTTGACATTTAAGTTTTTAATCTCCATAACATAGACAAGAGAGTTGATGTTGTAAGAGTCAGAGAAGAATTAGGTTCATGTTAACCTGAAAGTTGTTTGCAAGTAAGGTAATTGAATTTTAAAGCTAATTTAAATAAACCAAAAACAAAGCAAAAACCAAAAATAAGAGGGCTGGAGAGATGACTCAGCAGTTAAAAGAACTGACTGCTCTTTCAGAAAAGCAGGATTCAATCCTCAGCACACAGCATGGCAGCTCACAACTGTCTGTAACTCCAGTTCCAGGGGATCTGACACCCTCACATGGTCACACATGCTGGCAAAACGCCAATGCACATAAAATAAAAATAAGTAATTAAAAACATATATTTTTAGTAAAAGCGACAAGAGGAAACTAAACTTTGGAATAGCTCATTATTTAGAGATCTTGAAGGGAATTAGATTCCTTCAAGGAGAGTAAGAGAAGGCCAAACACGTTTCCAGAAAAACTGGAGGCATGTTAGCCTCAGGAACATTTATTATAGCATTGGGTTCCCCTGAGATGCCAATAAGGTAGGAAGTGATTGTCTAACCAGTTAACTAATCAGAAATATCTTCCAACTCTTTACATTTAAAGGCAGCATTTAACATTTTCCTCCATACATTACTGTCTTTGTACATTACTGTCCACTTTGTGGACTACAGAGCAGCTATGGTATTACTCCAAGCACAAATCAAAGAAGAAATGCTATTTACTCAGCTGCAAGTAGAAATTTCGTCTCTGGCAGGAAAGTAATCAGATCGCCCCCAGTCTTTAAGAGTTTAGACTCTGTAATGTTGTTCTACAAAGAACACATAAATTTGTTTATCTAACCTACTTCAATCCATGGAAGATGAACCTTGGAACAATGAATTCTTTTTGGTTTTGTTGTTTTGTTTTGTTTATGAGGAAAGGTTTCATAGCTCTGGATGTCCTGAAACTCAGTCTGTAGATCAAGCTGGTCTTGAATTCAGAGATTCACCTCCATCTGCTTCACCAGTACTGGGATTAAAGGCAGGAGGCACTACCACTGCTGGCTTGGATCAATAAATTCTAAAAGATGTTTATGAGAATGAGTGAACATGACTCTTTATTAAATTCAGTACAGTAGGAGGAATGTTAAACTGTGGAAAATGTTGTAGAATATGGAACCTGGAAATGAAAGGTATAGCATGACTGGGTTTTTAGGGATCCATTTGAGCCACTACTGCACAGTGAAGAATCCAGTAGGTACTTTCTAGGCACTTGCTGGGGTACTCCATGGCTCTGTGTATAAGTGTGACATCTTTTCAGCTTACTTCTTTGTTTGGACTATATGTTTTCAAAATTTCCATGAATTGCTTCAATGTCAAATATGTTATTTTTCATTTTACTAAAATTCCTAAAGTCAAGGTGCTCCATGTAGCATATAAATTCACCTCTAAATGTCAGAAACATGGAAAATGGATTTTTATTTCTTGTTTTTATCAATATAAAAGATTCTTTTTATCATGGCAGTGAAGTTTTCAGTTAGTAATTTGTTTATCCAAAAAACCTCATTATTATTAGCTTTCTTCGGCATTATTAGAATTTCAAACATTTGAAAATGGTGCTAGGGCAGAGACCACTGTAAAGCAATCTCTACACAGTGAAGTCTAGGTCAATAGTGCTTCAGTCTCATGTAGAACAATTAATCTGAAAGCTGCTTTGTTCCATATTTATTCCAGATAGCAATACTATTTATTTGTTTTCATTCCTAACAGGAGGATTATACCGACTGTGGTGGTGTTTCTGGATTAAATCCTTCCTTATGGTCAATCTTTGGACTCCAATTTATACTCCTTTGGCTGGTATCTGGCAGCAGACACTACCTATTGTGACCTTCTAAACCCCAGATCTGCAACTAAATTCCAAGCCCTGCCAAAACATGAGCTCTCAGTTACATTAACGTTGAAGAAGTGATACAGATACACAGATACATAAGAAGTGATACAGAACCTTCGCTGGGCCTGTACCTTGAGTAACTGTTAAGACTTCGATTCTTGATCATCTCGCTGGCTGCATGGCAGGGTGTCGGAAACTGAAACTTGTGTGAATATGCTGCATCATCTATGTCTAACATCAAAGCAAAACTCTACTTGTTCTCTGTGGGAGGTTTGGGAGTTCACTGTTACGGTGTTGGAGATTACGTGTAAAAGGTTCCCCCACGCAGGCCTTATGAAAAGAAGTGGTCTTGACTTTGACCTAGCGTTTCAACTTGCTGCAGTTTTACCAAGAAGAAGAAAAAAAGAAAACCCTAGTGAGGGCCAATGATATTTTTGCCTTCACTTATTTGCTGTTCAAAAGTAATTCCTGCTGTGAGTAGTTATTAAACAGAGAGAGAGGGAGGGAGAAAATACATTGGTTTAAACTGATGAAATGCAAACTAATGGCTAATTTTCTACCAAAAAAAAAATTGCCATGAATAAAATGCCTTATATAAGAATGACTTCTCTGCCAAAAAAAAACAAAAAAAACAAAAACAAAAAACCACAACTGTGACCAGTTGAATTTGGGTAAGGTATGAAGTGCTGGTTTGAAACCAAGGAAGGAAGAAATAAGCTAAAGGGGCTTGTGGGTGAAATTGGAATTCGTGATACATTTCCTCATAAATGTATACCCTTAACTGCGTGATGTAATGTCCCTCTTGTTCACAGTAAAGTCATGTAGTGCTAGCCAGATATTTAACATGCTCTAAGAGAAGCTTGTGGGGGGAGGGGAAATGTTTTCCTTGTGGTTAATGAACTTGGGTTGCCAAGGGTATTTTGCATGATGCTGCTGCTCTTTTACCTTTCTGGTTTGTTTTCTTCTTCCTGTAGAGTATAGTCCATTGACAAGTTAACTGGGTGACATTATTGTCATGTAAGAATCTGAATCTTGCAGTGTACATGCACTTAAGTCATCCTTAACATGTTGTTAAACTACTCTGAATATACTGTGCAATGTAAACGCCGAACGGCTGGGTTAGGCAGACGGCGAAATGAGAATTCATGGATTTTATACAGACTCATGCTTTTGCCTGAAAAACCTATGTACAGATATTTTAAGTACATAAATCAGATTTAACACATTTATTTTTTGAAAGGTACATATACGTTCTCAATGAAAATTTATCCTAGGTTTCCTCTTTGTTCGTTTCAATAGTAGCATGTACAATCTAAAAACTGCTGCTCTTGCTGCTTCTGTCCCTCCATTTTGGTATGATCATATGACCAAATTTCTAATACAACTTCATGAGGGTTTTTACATTAACCTGAACAAATAGGAAACCTTGAATTTATGTATATGCACATGAACACTTGATTGTGAATAATAAAATTTGTTTTTATACAGCCTCCTTGGTGAAAGCATTAGTGTAGTAGATCAGAAATTCCATTATAGATTAATATGGTAGCAAAACTTTATTTATGCTTCTAAAAATTATTTTCAGGAATAAACAGTATTTGAAGAATGGATAAAAACAATGAATGTGTCTAGGGAGAGTAATTTTACTGTAAGCTGAAAGTATACATATATTTTTTATGGTAAATGAAATTTTCTTTTCTTTTTAGTTAAACATGCCAAGTATTGGTGTGTGCACTTGCTGGAAATTTTCATATATATATATCATTTTTCCCTCTGAGTTATTTATATCCTCCAGCATACTTTAATATGCTCTACATATCAACATTGCAGTCAACCCTTTACCATAGTTTATTGTTTTGTTTATAGCTTTGCATCCACTGTAACCCCTTCCTACCATCATGCTATCCTAAGTAACATTTGTGTACATTTCGTAAGTTAATATGTCACTTTAGCTCAAAAGGGAGGGAAGGGCAATCGGATTCACTCTGCCAACAATTGTCCTAAGAAATGACATCAGTCACCACTTCTAATACGTTGTCATTTTTTAATCTATTCATAACTTCTGTTCACATTTTAGAAAAGAAGGTGGAAAGGTAGAGGAAATATGTTTAAGTCATGCTGTTTGTTAATTACTTCAAATTCAAACGTATTATTATCTCTAGCTAGACTATTTTAAATCATGTTGGGGAAGGGAACTGCTAGTTTGTACATATAAGTGATACACATAAAAAAAATTGAATAGCTTCTGGCAAACAACAACCTACCTTAAATTATGTTTAAAGTGTATTGACTATGTATTTCATGGCTAATGTCACTTACAGAGTGTATTAACACCAATGAAATTATTGCTGTATGAATCACTGTTGAACTTGGCATCTCTTGGTAGAGCGCTGTTTGGTTTCAGTTCTACATCATTACAATTATACACATAGTAACAAATTGGGCACAAACACACCCTCTGACTAAAATTTGCTTTGATGACAGATACGAATATTTGTGCTTTCACCTATTTTTTAATGACAATAACACTCATCTCATCAAAATTACCATATTAAAATTCACATTTTTCTGCAAATTCTGTTGACAAAAAAAGTATAGTTTGCTATTTCCAGAAATAAACCTATATAAATGATGGTTTTAAAAAGCTTTTAAACTGTTTTCACTTAGTTAATTGTTGCTCTACTCATGTAGCTCACTGCACTTTGTCACGTAAACAAAGTCAAAACAAGTCCTGCATTGGTGTTGAGTAGCAGAAAAGAATTTTTGCATAAATGGTTTCATCTTTTCTTCATTTGAACAACCAGCATTACTGCCAAACACCAATCGTGGTCCACATTTGTACCAGGTTTTTAACATGACATAGTTTGCAAGTTTGATTGAAGAGATTTTTAGGTCCTGGGCCTACAAGATTTTAGTATGGTCTTTTTTCATGTTTCTAATGCTTGGAGCATTGTTGCTTACCTTGGGAAACACAGCATTGCCGCCATTTGTAAGTTTTCTTATATATAATATTCCTTTTATTAACTGTAAAACTGGCCTTATGGGGTTCAAATAGGCAGTATCCCTTTTAAGTGACCTTTGCAACCCAAGTGTTACTTGCTTATTTGATGCTCTCTTGTACTTTGTATCTCATTTGAACGCCTGTCTTGGAGTCACCAAAGCTTAAATTCTACATCTTAACTTAAAACTAAAGGCATAGAGTCTAACCTAGTGAGACACAATGGATTTTGTGATTTTTTCCCACTTGCCCCAAATTCCAAATATTTTATCACTAGCTGGAACTTGCGTTGTTTACCAGGGCAGAATGTTGGTATTGTCAACATTCAGTGTACATTTCTGTACAAAACAAGTCACTAAAACAGAACTATTAGGTGATGAAAATGTCCAGAATTTTGCAGAAATAGATAGCTGTTACCGGTGTTTTCATCTACCTTGTTTCTAGTTCACATAAAAAAGAACCATGGAAATTCCACTGAGACTCTTGGCATGCTGTCCTGTGTAGATGCCAACTGAGTTTCCAATGTGACCTGGCCAAGCTGTCCTTTCCTTGTGTGGTATGACTGTGGGATCATGTTTTAGGGATTGTTTTCATGAAATGCTCATTGTGCATCAAGCAAAATGCCAAGTGGCTTTTGTGAACAACAGATTTTTTTTTCCTCCCCTTATTATGGTCTCTGGACACTTTTGTGGAAATTAACTAGTCGGATGAACACATTTTGTAAAAATTTGTATAATACTGTTATAAAAATATTTATAATCCCAGAAAATGTTGTGTTAAATCTTGTGCAAAAACAGTATATTCAGAATAAAAGTTTATCATTGAAAGTCACCACACAGTTTGGGTTTTTGCCTTTTTTAAAGATCCAGTTGAAGGAGATAATAGGCTATCATACATATGTTTTTAAAAAGCAGGTCTCTTGTCTGGATGAAGAGAATTCTGGATTGCAGAAATAAAATTTGGTTTCAGAAGTATGCTTTGACACTCACAGACCTCAACTCACCCATGAATACATTGATGACAATTTTTCATCAGACCTTCCTTGCCTGTGCATTCTCCTCTGAGACTTTGAAGAGTTTAATACACTTAATAAGTAAGACAATTTTCTAGAGGGAGAAAACAGTGGTTCTGGATGTGTTTAAAGACCTTGGAGCGAACAATGCATCTGACATGTACATATCTTTGGTAGACCTTAAATAAACACATTTCTCCAAATTATTGGCAAATCATAGACATGGGATTAAAATACCATGCAAAGTACCATGCAAAGTACTTTAAAGGAATATGCATGCTAATTTCCTGCTTGCTTCACTTTTGTTCACCTCATGAAGTAAAGGCCTGATTGTGTATAGAAGCTACTAGAATATCTGTACCCTACTTTACTGCACTGAAGTATTGTATAAAATAGAGAAAAATAGCTCCAACATTAGAGTTGACTGTTGTATGTGAGTAGAGACCGTGTTACCAAAAAATCTCACTACCATGTCTGATCAAGGCATTTTAACAGGCAGACAAGACCTACTTAAATGTATAAGGTAACAGTTGTTTTTTAACATCTGGCTTCTCTTGACACCAATTTATCTCTTCAGTCCATCCTTGTGCTCCCCAGAGATCCCCATTTCCTTCATCTGTCTCCGTGGTCCCTTCCGATCTTTTCACATGGGAACCTGGCTCCCTAATTCTCTTTTACAAAACTATTTCAATTTCTTTCTCTACAGCTTCTTCATCCTTTCTACCTGTCTGTTTAAAACAAACACAGCAAGCATACCCCAACCACTGTCCATGAACCCAATTACTCTTTTGCTCCATAAATCTGTAATTCACTCCTTTGTCTCTTTGATTTGCACTGTTTAACTGGGTCCTAGAATCTTACACCTGTAAGACAATTTATCTTTGAACTTCAGTCTATAGAATTGCTGAAAATGTTGGAATGAGTTCCTAATCAATGCAAGTTTGAGTGACTTTTATTTTGAAACTTTAGTTCTTGAAATTGTTATTCATCTTCACAGCACCTACACATTCCTATAAGCTGGT